GGTCACGTGTGGGCACCCCACAGAGGAAGGACAGAGAGAAATAGGTGGCATTCCTAAGCCAGGGACCTACAACCAGGCCCAGACTCAACAAAACCCAAACTGGGTCCTGAGTCAGTTTCCTGCCCCTGCCCTGGCCTAGGCCTTCTGCCCTGGGTGCCTGCTGGCTACTCCAGGAATTCTCTCGCTCCTGCCTTCCTCGAAGCCTTTCCACAGGACTCTCCCCAGGCCTTCTCCAGGTCTCAACTAACACATCAGCTCTGCTGGGGCCATCCCTGGCCCACCTGCCCTGCTGTGTATTTCTATCATAGCACTCAACACAATCTAAAATTTACCAGGTCTGCTTGTCCAGGATTTGCCTCTTCCCCAGCCTGGCCACATGTGTCTGCCTAATTCACGGCTGTCTCTTCCAGCACTTAGCTTACCTTAGATGTGGCCTAGACATGCTCGGTGAGTGGACGAGTGACTCCTAGGTCTGGGAGGACCTTTGCAGTCCCCACTGGTACCCCTCAAAGGCCAAGACTGCACAGAACGGCAGAGCCCTACACAGATCTAGCCCAGGGCCTGGACTCCCTGCCTTCAGGCTCCTCCCCTGGGTGGTGTAGACCTGAAGCAGGGCTAGGAGCTGGGCAGCAGAGTTCTGGCCATGAGGTAAGTCACACACGGGAGCCCCCACCCCAGCAGCTGCTTACCAGGCAGGAACAGCAGGAAGAGGCAGGCGGCTCTCATGGCCATGGAGTGAGGAGGCTGTGGTGGTGCTGAGGACAGCTAGAGGGGAGGAAAGGAGAGCTAGCTGCATGCCAGCCAGCTAGCCCAGGACGGCAGAACACATTTCTGTCCCCGAGCTCAGTCTGCAGGGGACAGACAGAGCCAGGCATCTGGAGGTGGGAAGGGACATCTGCAGTCCCTGGTTAGGCAAGGTTCCAGGACTGACTTGGGTCTTTTAAAGATGGGTCTCATGTAGCCCAGGTTAGCTTCAACTTACTATGCAGAGGAAGAAGCTCTTAACAAGCTGACAGACACTCCCTTGTCATGCTCACTAAGGAGACATCTCTAATAGCCATTCACCCTACCCTGACTGTACCCACCTCTGGCCCATCCATCTCCCCGACTTTCTGATGTGAATTCCAATGACTTCAGGCACATCCTTAGGGTACCAGCCCTACCCAGCCAACACCACGGTCAGCCACTAGCTCAGCAGCATTTGCCAGGTCTGCCACCAGCTGCTCCCAATTAGCCCCTGGGCCCTGAGCATGCTGCTCAGCAGGAAAACCACATGCATACAGGCCCCAGGAGCCCCCAGAACGGCCAGGGCTGGGCAGGACTCCCAGCTCCAAGAAGACGCCTGCCAGCTCCAGGCCTCCCAAGACCTGGCTGTCTTCATTACAGACACACGCACGAGACTAAGGCCTGTTTGTCTGCAGCAGCAGGAAACATGGGGAGGAAAGCTGGGAGGTGAGGGCACCTCTGGCTCCCAGCATGCTAACTGGGTGAGGCGAAGTTGCTTGGCCCAGAGATTCATAACCCTTGACATGACCCTGGATGACAAGAGTGTAGTCTTGGTGAGGGCACTGGTCCAGGGCTTGCACAAAGTTCCTAATACCCAGGAACTCCAGGGTGAGTCCAGCCTTCATTGCTGGCTACAAAGTCAGCTGGCTATGCCCCGTCTTAGTCAGTGGATGGTGACTTCTAGATGCTGCCCACAGGCTCATCCATCCAAAAGCTCCTCCCTACCCCACCAAGGGAAGTTCTTCCATACAGCTTGAACCCCAACTCTGACCCCCTGGGGGAGAGAGCAAGGGAAAGGCAGAAACAGGGTATCTAACCTCAGTTTCCCCAACTGTGAGGTTTCTTGATACCTTGCCCATCTCAGACATCTCACTCAAGCGTCCCCTGGTGGGGGCCAGAGGCCCTTGCTAGTTTATATCCATAGGGACCACCACTCCAGGCTCCTCACATTCCCACTCTTAAGATCTGGGCAGCCTTGTGGCAGGGGGGCCACCAGCTCCATACAGAGTGATGATTGACCCGAGTCCCTGTGCATTAGGAGGCATGGAGTGGCTGCCAATGTGTATCAGAGCCTTCCACACTCACACCCAGGCCCAGGCTTATGGCAGGGAACCGGACTCATTGGCTAGCCCCAGCAAGAAGGAGAGAATAATGAATTGTTCCCAGGGGACACAGGCAAGCTCTTCAAAACTTGAGTTTAGGAGTTGTTAGCGAGGCCAGGAGCTGTCCGGATGGCTGATCCACCCCCACAACTTCGGCCTCCCCCAACCCCTCGGCAACTCTGTGGTTCTGGGGGGCGAGGGCTGGGAGCCCCCTCGCTGGCTCAGACCCGAAGGGGGCCCCACCAGATGCTGCGGCACGGCTGCACAGCTGGGAACGATCAGCCGGCGGAAACTCGCTGGCTCTCCACCTCCGTCTCTCTTTGTCTCTGTGTCCGACCCCTGCCCCGCCCTCCACATCCCAAACGCTGGGGGGACAGCCGCCCTGTCCCCCAGCACCCCCATCTCGATGACCCCTAAATTCCAGCTCCCTGCCTATCCTATCGCGCCCCACCACTTGCCAGGGGCCCCCTCAGCATCCGCTCCATACCCCAGGGCCAGGGTCTCCGCAATCCCCCCCCCCCAGGAACGGAGTGTGGAGCATGGCGCCCCCGACGCCCCTGGGCGCGCCCAGCCCGCGCCTACCTGTCGGGGCCCCTGTGCCGTGCTCTGGTGCAGCTGAGAGTGCCCGCCCGCCGCCCGCAGCCAGAGCCCCCAAGGCCCCCAAGGCCCACGCCCGCCCCTAGCCCGGAGTCGCTGGGTCCTAGAGAGCGCCGCCGCCACGCCGCACCCTCGAGGCTCCAGCCCCTCCCCAATGCCGCTGGGTCTGGGCTTGGGCCTGGACCTGGTGCTAGTCAAGTGAGCCGCCGGCTGGTCACCCCTTTCACAGAGGGGTCCCAGCCTCTCCACCCAGAGTCCAGAGGTCACTGGGCTGGAAATGAAGCCTTGCTTACTTCCTGCGATCTCGCTCCCTTTCCTCCTTTTCCTTCCCTGTCTCTTTCCTCCCGGCATGGCGGATGACCTCAGGGCAGATCAAATTCAACGAATACCCAAGTCCAATTTCACAACCCCAGGAGTTGACCTCCATCCAGGGAAGCCCCAGCTTTCTTCCCTTAGCCTCACTCTGCTTTCAGTGCCCCATTCCCGACACTATTTTTTTTAATGATTTATTTTTATTTTATGTCCTTGATGGTTTTCCTGCATGTATATCTATGTAAGGGTGCCAGATTCCCTGGAACTGGAATTACAGATAGTTGGGAGCCACCATATGGATGCTGGGAATTCCTCTGGAAGAGCATTCAGTGCTCCCAACCACTGAACCATCTTTCCAGCCCCTGGCACCAATTCTTATCCTGGGGGTTCAAGTTCAGCTCCCATGGACTGTCTGCACTGTGTGTTTCTTGTCCCTGGTCCACTCAGTGAGCTGCATTGCCTTGCTCTGTGTGTCTACTGGAATGGAACCAGGGAGTCCTGGGGTCAGCCAGCTGTCCTTTACCGCCAGGCCTAATCCCACTCGGGTAGGAGGGGACCCATCTGGCAGAAATGCTGCCTCTATACTTGACAAAAGGGGGAAACTGAGGACCTATAGACAGCAAACCCAAGGTTCTGGCCAGGATCTGTGGCTTCTCCTGCCTACTCCCCTGGCCCTGAGGATCCAGGCAGGGAAGCAGCTGTCTGAGGAGGGGTGAAGGTGTCTGTGGTCTTTGTTCATGGATGATTCCCCTCACCCTATCAGCCTCACCCAGAGTTAGGAGCTGCATGTGGACAAGGCTGACTTCACTCTTTCTCTGCTTTGGTCCTTAGGCCTGGCACATGCCTGCTCAACCACAGAGTGTCAGCAAAGTCTATCCAACCTTGCCATCCTGACTGTTGTGATCTGAATGAAAATGGCCCCCATAGGCCCAAAGGGAGTGGCACTATTAGGAGGTGTGGCCTTGCTGGAGTGGGTGTGGCCTTGCTGGAGGAAGTGTGTCACTGGGGGTGGGCTCTGGGGTTTCAGAAGCTCAAGCCAGGCCAGTGCCATTCTTCCTGCTGCCTGCCGTGGATCAAGAGGTAGAGCTCTTGCTCCTTCTCCACCACCACGTCTGCCTGCATCTTCCTGCCATGATAATGGACTGAATCTCTGAACCTGTAAGCCAGCCCCAATTTGCCAAGGTCATGATGTCTTCACAGCAACAGAACTAACACTGGCCTTGTCCACTGTCACCGCACTCAGTCCAGCCGCATCTAGAGCCAGTAGATGCCGATCAATCCCTCTTCACCGCAGCCTGACCCAACATTCCCTGAGCTTCGAGTGGCCTGGGGGAGCCACCAGGCTTCCAGTAACAAGGCTGGAGGAGGCCTAGGAAGAGGAACCAGCCCTTCTGTCTTGTCCTCCCTGCCCAGGAGGAGCCAAGCCAACTTGCGTCTCCAGAGCAGAGGAGATCACCTGGCCAGCAGCCCACTGGTGGGGTGAGGTCAGATGCATCCACCCTTCCCAGGGGGACAGGCTTGTGGTTCTGGCTCGGAGACCTGGGCTTAGAGCCTGGCTTTATCTGAGGAACCAGACCACAAACACATCCAAGGATGTGGGAGTGGCAGGCGAGAAGACAGGCCCCAGTGAGCTGGCTCTCAGGCACAGGCTGTATCTAGCAAGCCCCAGCTTGAGGGCAAGCCCATGGCTCCTCCCTCCTGCTGGGGTCGGAGGGCTAGAAACAGTGAAGCTGAGATCAGGCACAGTGCAGCCACTGCTGTGACCCCCAGCCTCAGTTTAGCCATCACCATCTATAAAGTGGGGTCGGACCCTGCAGGTGTAGGGCAGGAGACGGCATGAATGAGAGACTAAGCTGTATGTATGCATCAGGTATCCCATCTACACTGGGAAGCACACGGTCAGATGAAATAGACACTCAGAGGTGTCCAGTGGGACCAGGAAGGGCGAGCATGGGACTTGGACAGTGAGACACATCACAGTGCCCAGATCCAAGACCTGTGTTGCTTTATTTGCTCCACTGACAGCAGCTCCGGCTGGAGTTGGTAGCTGCTATCTCTACACAGGATGGTCTAAGGTGGGGGATAACAATCAGCACTTCCCCAGGCGGGTTCAGGGAAGGCTGGGCCAGGCAGTGTCCGGGCAGGAATGTGACAACAGCCAACTTGGGAGCTGTGGGAGGTGACGGGTGCTGTCTCTAGAGATGGGTCCAGTTACAGCTCAGGGGCAGGGGGATCCAGTGTCCAGCATGCCCTTCAGGCCTACACTACCTCACAGAGCTGATGGGCAGTGTGGGCCAGGGCTGTTCAGCAAGCTCCCGTACCAGCCGCTTGAATTGCTTCTTGGAGGCCCGTTTAGGCCGGAACCACCGCAGGCAAGGCGGGAGGCACTGGTCCAGCACACTCTGCAGAGGGCAAGTGGGAAGGGCGTGGAGGGATGGCTGGGCCTGGGTCCTCCATGTCCCTCCCTAGCATCCCTCAGTGTGGACCCTACCTCCAGCATGAAGGCGCCCACCAAGTTGAAGGCGACCAGGCCCAGCAGCAGCAACTTGAAGGAGCTGTCCGCAATGTTCCTCAGTCCTAGTGGCCCCTGCAGGAGGCCGGGGACCAGGATGAGGCCCACCAGGACAGAGCCCAAGAGCGCCAGGGCCACCAGGAAGGGCACTGGGGGTGGGGGAGTCTGTCAGCAATGGCGCTGCGCCCTGGGACGCATGCACACACGCACACACACACAACCACACACAAGTGCACACTCTACTCAGGGTCCCTTCTCCACTCCAGCTGCCACCCCTCAGCCCGACACCCCCACCCCACCACGCAGCAGCACCGTTGGTGTAGAGCGGCTGGCGGAAGGGTGCCCCCTTAGACACGGCTGCAGCCAGGATGAGGTACTGGAAGCTAGATAAAGAGAAGACCACTGTGTTCTCGTAGTTGGGCAGGTTGTCGGGTGCGGGCATTGTTCTGTTCAGAGGCACAAACCTAGGGACCAGGGTGGTAGGGTTAAGAGTGAGGGGTGTCAGAGGCAGGGGCAGTACTGGTGCAAGGGATTCTGCTACTTACCAGGGCTGGGCTATGACCAAAAAGTAGCCCCCCAGCTGGATGCCAGCCACCAGGGCCACCTGCAACAGCAAACTGCCAAGGACAGGCACGCTCAGCAGCGCCCCCGGTGGCCGCGCTCGCACTAACGTCTGTGCCGGGCCCGTGCGGCTCATGAGTACAGCAATGGTGGTGGTGATGACAAGGTCGATGGCCAGGAACTGTAGGTCTCCTAGGTTGGTGTTGATCTGTGGCAGGCAAGGGGACGGAGGAGAAGCTGGTGACCGGCTCTTGCAGAGCCCCAGGGTGTCCCCTGTCCTCACGGAGCCAGAAGAATCCTTCCCGCCCACTGTCTGACCCAGCATCCTTAGCTAACACTGGTGGACCTCAAGCCTGATGACAGATGCTCCCAACGATCTACGGCGCAGTCTGATACATGACATGCTGTCCTGCCCCCTGGTGAAACCAGGGTCTAAAGCTCCTGTGGAAGGCTGCTTGACATATAGCAAAACCCCAGCCTGACGGAGCAGAGGGGCTGCCTGGTGGGGCCACACTCTCTCTGCTCCAGAGAAACTCTGAGGCAGACCTGGATCTGGCCCATTGCACCTCTGTAGTGGCGGCGGGGGCAGGGGGGGGGGTGTGTGTGGCAAACAGGGCATGCTCTGGGCAGGGGAAGGCTCTGTGTCACTCCTGCCTGGGCTCTGCCTTATTCTCCCCTGCAGACTAGGAGCTTTAGGAGATAGAGACAGCTATCAGCATACACCAACCAGTAGCCCCACTTCTAGGGACCCATGGCCAGTGGTTTTGAACACAAGCTTCACTGCCTGAGCCATGGCAGGCAGATGACAGTCACAGTCCCCTGACTTCTCCCCGGTGGGGTGCAGGCTTGGGGTCTGATGCTCACTGTATAGAGAATCAGGACTGAGATGAACTGGGTCAGGCTGTAGAGGGCCATGTACTTGAAGACGCTGAATGAAGTGTCCAGAGAACAGCGGCCCTCCCTAGGAGGCAAAGGAGGACATCAGGGGCTCAGGCTGCTGGCAGGCCCCGCCTCACCCACACCCACCAGCCCTGCATGCCTTTACCTGATGACAGTGGGCACACACTCAATACTGGCCATGCTGGAGGTGAAGGGAGAGACCACTGAAGCCTCTGCCTGGGATAGCGAGATGCCCACGTCAGCTGCCTTCAGGGCTCCACAGTCATTGGCTCCGTCCCCACACATGCCTACACAGTACCTGACAGAGAGGTGAGTACGTAGATACGGCCTGTGAAACAACTCCATGCCCCAGGGAGAGTCCAGCCTAATGACCAGCTGGTGCTTGGTAAACAGATGTAATTATTTTTGGCATGACAGAGGAGCCTGCTTGGGTACCTGTTTTTACTGTGCTTGGGATAGATCCCAGTATGTCTTAAATGCTAGATAAACACTCTACCATACTTCCTGCCCAACCCAAGTGCTGTTTACTATTTACTTGTTTATTATTGAGACAGGGCCTTGCTGGGTACCTCTGGCTGGCCTGGAACTCACTAAGCTACATCAGTCCTGCTTTTTTTACTTGCTTGTTTGAGACAGTATCCCTACATAGTTCACATTGGTCTTGAACTAGCAGCAATCCTCCTGCCTCTGCTTTCCAAGTGCTGGGATGACAGCACATGCCAGCATGCCCGGCTCCTGGGAAGGTGGAGGGAGGGTCACTAATGCCTGAGGAGGGGACTGGGACATATGGACAAGTTCATTCCCGCCGGCCCTCTGGCACACCACACACAGCACTCACTGAAGCTTCTGCAGCTCGCACACTAGCTCCGTCTTCTGCTCCGGGGCCATGCGTGCAAAGACGGTGGCCTGCACCAGGACCTGGGGCGTGAGAGGGGAGGACTGGAGCATCGCCTGGCGTGCAGAGACGGGCAACACACGGCCCCGCCCTGGGCAGCTCTACCTTGGGCAGCAGCCTGGGGAAGTGCTTCTGAAGGACAGCAAACGTGGGCCCGCTGAGGGCCAAGTGACGGGACCGGGGTTCCAGCTCCATGGGATAGCCTGTGGCCTGGACAGGGTCCTAGGGATCAGGAAACTCAACTTAGTAAGAGGGTCAGGTGACATGGAATGGGGCCGCTGGGGACAGTGCAGCCAGAGTTGGTGGTCTGCCTCACCTTAGCCCTGTTCGTGGCTGCAGAGGACTCGGGTAGCAGGAACTCAAGGGAGGCAGGCTGGCCCTGCTCAGGGTGGGTGGCATGGATGATAACCAGGTGCTCCTGTGTGCCCACCATGCCACAGCCTCGGGCCACAGTGACTGCTGTCTGCAGGTTGTCCCCTAGGAGTGTGAGGCAGGGTCAGAGTCTACCACTGTCCAGGGGCCTGTGGCCCATCCACAAGCGCTGTGTCCAGCATGGCTGAGCTGGGCAGTCTAGCCATGTCCCTAGACCTCTTTCTTCAGTGAATGTCAGAGGAACAACTGGGCTGGGCCCCAGCTCGGCACTCTGCCTGCCGCTGCATGACCAGGGCATGACGCATGTATACTTGTGAGTGAGTGCAGGGCTGGGGTGTGTGAGAAAGACAGACTGCCAGCCATGGTCCTTCCACTCCAGTGGGAAGCCTTCCTGCTTTATGAGGTTGTCACAGTCTTCTAGCCTGACACCAACACCATTGTCCCACATGGAGAAGGGACCTGGAACCCGGGTGGAGACCTCCTGGTGACCCAGCAGGTGAAGAGCTGGGCTGTAACCCAGGCTGACACTCCACCTGGCGCTCAGGAACTCATCTGTCCTCCTCTGTCCAACAACGACACGTTACAGATACTGCGAAAAGACGGGGAAGGACCTGGCTCCAAAAGATGCTGCAGCAGGGGATGCTGGGAAGCCTTCTTTTTGCCCACGACAGGGCAGGCTGTACCCTCCTCACAGGTCCCCTCGGCCATAATACCTGTCACCATAATGGTGCGGATGCCCGTCTTCCTCAGAGTCTGGATAACTGGGGTCGTCTGTGGCTTCAGCAGGTTCCGCATGACCAGCAGCCCCAGGAGGCTCAGCTCCTGCTCCACAGTGTCCCTAGAGGGTTAGCATCCCCGGGTCAGAGGTCAGGCAGGAATCAATGCCCCTCTCCCAGTGTCTAGATGGGGCACCTGCCTCCACACCTCCCGGGGATGGGTTCACCTGGTCAGCTGCTGAGCGGCCTCCAGGCTGGGTGCGATGGGCAGCGGCTTGCCAGCCAGGGCCACAACTCGGTAGCCAGCGGCTGTGTAGCTCTGCAGCACCTGGGTAAAGTCGCCGGGTACTGCGGGGATAGGGAGTGTCATCAGGGCATGGGGGGCGGGGGCGTCAGAGGCCGGGACCCGCGCCCACTCTATGCTCACACCCAATAGTGGATTCTGGGCCTGCCCCCTTCACCTGTCTCAGGGCTGCAGAGGCTGGCCACGAGCTCTGGGGAGCCTTTGATGTAGGCCTCAGGCTGGGTGGCCCCTGGCCATGCCACTACCACGTCCATACGCTGCAGGGCGGAGGAGAAAGGGAAGCGGCGTAGGACGCTGACTGGCTCCGGTGGCTCTTCCTGTGGGTGGGGGAAGAGCTGAGGGGCTGGCGGTGGGGCCCGGTCCTGAGGCCCCGAGCCCCAGTCATCCCGCAGCTTACCGTTCCCTGTTGCTGGGGCCCCCTGGGTGGGGGTCTCATTACCGCCACGACCTGGGTCCCAGGTGCTGAGTCTGCAGCTGGACCCTCCTCCAGGACCTGGTTGGGGCGCAAACAAAGGAGGTTGGGAACCAGGGCCTTGACGAACAGAGGGGCAGCAGGACTAGACTCATGGAAGACTTCATGACCGGAGGGGTACAAGTTAATGTGGGCTTTGGATCTGTGCAGACTCAAATCCACACTCTGGCTGTCCCACGGGTAAGTTGCTGGGAAATCTTGGGCAAGTTATTAAAATCTCCAGGAATCAGGTTTCAGGCTTATGCTAGGGCCACAGGGGTAGTGAACGAGAAAAGGTGGACACCGTGGGGTGCCAGGACAGAGCAGACACTCAGCACAAGGCTCTCCCTTGACTGACAGTGACGACAGATGTGACAGAGACAACTAGGGAGTACAGGTAGCATTCCTTAGGCCAGCTGCCCTGAGGCAGGGGCCTGGCCTGCTCGGCCTCCTCACCCAGCCTGTAGACTCCACCATCTTGAGATCCATAGGGTCGCCCACTGGGGTGTCACGTAGCTGGCTGAGGGCGTGGCAGGTGGCCAGTGCTCGGAGAAGGGGCCCCAGGGGCAAGTGGCGGGGCTCTGTGACCAGTGGTAGCAACATCTGTCCCTTTAGGGGCACCACCCCCATTATGTCCAAGCCGTCCTCCGTGAGGGTGCCTGTCTGCAGAGGGACAGGGCCGAGTCCTCTGTTGAGTCAGGCCATGCTGAGCTGGTCCCCACACCCAGGCCAGGTGAGTCCCACAGGAACCAGAGCAAGGGCCACAGGAGGCCTGTTCCAGACCCCGTGTCCCTGCTGGAGTCAACCTCTACACCCCTGTTTGGGTCTGACCATCCTCCCTTCCCTCAGTTCACGGCCCTGATGGGTCAACGTGAGGCCTCTGCTCACCACCTGCTGCCCACCCGGTCCTTCTGCTGTCACCACTGCTCAGTGTGTCCCAGGTCCACTGTGTCCTTAAGGAACCACAGACCCTCGTTCCTCCCCACCTGGTCTGCCCGCCCTCATCATGGGAGTGCTCAGAAGGCAGCTCTGGGCTCCCCTAATACCCACTGTCCACACAGTGTACCACTGGTGTGTTCACTGGCTGGGGACACACACACACACACACCAGTGCCCCTGTGCTGGTCACTACTGAACTCCAGCTCTGTGTACTTGCCCAGCACAGTAGGCCCCAAATGGTTCTTGAACAATTAAATACACGATTTCAGGCATTTTATCTGCCAGGCATGAGATGGGATGGGTAGGGGATGGTTGTGGAGGGTGGCCCTGAATGTTCCCAGGTGTGAATCGGGTCTAGGTCCAGCAGGCTGACTGCTGAAGTGCCCAGTCCCCCAAATCTTGCCAGCCAGGCCCCCACCTTGTCGAAGCACACGAGCCGCAGCTTGCCCCCCAAGTTGATGCGCAGTGGGTGGATGCAGAAGATGCCCTGCGTGCGCAGCCGACTCTGGGCATAGAGCGTGCACACGGTCATGGCAGCTGGCAGGGCAGGTGGTACCACCACCGTCACCAAGTCCAGAGCTCGGATCACGATCTCGTTCACAGGCACCTGGCAGGAGGCACTGTGAACACAGAGCTCGGCCGGATCGGCCCTGCAAGATGGCGGCCCCACCCAGCCTCCGGCTTACCCGGTTTCGGTAGAGAACGAAGATGCTGTAGACTGTGCCAAGCAGGGCTGGGGAGAAAGCAAGGGGTAAGCGGGACTCGGGACCCGGCTGAGGCTGTCACAGAGGGAGGCATGCAGCCCACTCACCCAGGACGGACAGCGCTGCCACAAACTTCATGCTGTGTTTGTAGAACTTGAAGCTGATGGGCCTCGGGTGCAGGATGGAGCTCACCAAGCCGCCTTTGGCGGTGCAGAACCCTGGGGGCAGGAAGCCAAGGGAGGGAGGAGGGGTTAGGGTAAGCTCCTCCCACCCCTCGCCTCCTGCACACCGCCTGCACCCTGGGGTGATGACACTCACAGGGCCAGCCACCATCTGGACTGGGGTCACAGATGACAACTCACAAGGTTGCCCAAACCCCGCAGTTCTTGTTCAATTATTTTCTTTCTGTGGTTCCGGGGATTGAACCCTCATCCAACAAGGTGAATGCTGAGTACTTTTTCACTTTTCTGCAGCCTTCTTTTTACTTTCATTCTGACTGAGGGTCCCACTAAATTGCCCAGGCTGGACCTCAACTTGTTATCCTTGGGCCTCTACCTCCCCAGTAGCTGGGATTTTAAGTGCATGGCCTCTGTAGGGTTTTATTTCAGAAAGATCTCACTATTTAGCCCCTGCTGGCCTGGAAATTGCTCAGTAGTCCAGGATGGCCTCAAACTCACAGAGATCCACCTGCCTCTGCCTCCCCAGTGCTGGGATAAAGGTGTGTGCCACCAGGTCCTCCACAGGGATTTTAAAAGTGGAATTAGAGGACAGCCTCTCAAGTGGGTGGATTCATTTACAGCACAGAGGACTAAGTCCCTTCCCCTCCTACAGGAGGACCCCTGCTGTCTCCTACAAGCATGGCAAAGCTTGATTACAGTCTGCCCCAACTTCTGATAAGGACTGAGGGCTGGAGGATGGCTCAGTGGTTAAGAGCACTTCCTGATCTTCCAAAGGACCCAAGTTCATTTCCCAATATCACATGGCAATTCACAACTATCTGTAACTCCAGTTCTAAGGGATCTGACATCCTCTTCCGGCCTCTGCAGGCACCAGGCATGCATATGCACAGACAAACATACATACAGCAAAACACCCACACACACAAAATTAAAAAAAGAGAAAGGGACATAAGGGCCCAGCTAGGTGGACTAGTCAGAATTCCAGCGGCAGAGGTGGCGGTGGGAACCAGGGCTCCAGGCCCTGTCCTGTCCGGCCTCACTGCTCCTATGTATGCTGAGCTCAGCACTCCCCCACCTCCAGATATGTACCTGTCCGGGTCACCACTGCTAGGACCCGGGGTCCCAGGTAGGCCCGGGCCTGCAGAATGAGGGTCCCACAGAAGAGTGTGTGCCGCCGATGGGTCTCTGAGCAGTAGGGCTTGGGCCCCTCTGGCAGGGCTGTCTTCAGCACTGGGGTGCTTTCCCCTGGGAGGGACATGGGGTGAGGTCCATGAGGGGCCCTCAGGGTACTCCCTCCCACCGTCAGAGCTAAGAGCTGCCCACAACTATTCCGAAGCCACACTTAACTCTGTAACTGGGTGGGTAGAAGGAGGACTTGAGACTGTGAGGCAATCCTGAGGGGAGGCAGCCAGTTACCAGGAACCTGCTTTGGGTAGTTGGGCCAGTCAGTGCCAGCGTGTGTACATATTGGTGGCCAGGGTTTAGGAAGCCCTTCTCCTACTGGAGTTAGTTTACCACGTATCATTTGTGGATTTTTATACAGATCTCGCTATGTAACAAGGTTGGCCTCAAACTTGTGATCTCCTGACTTAGCTTTTAGAGTTCTGGAAATCACTGGTGTGAGTCATCAGTATCGGTCACATCTTACTCTTTGTGCTTTTTTGATTTGAGACAAGGTCTCACCACACAGACCAGGCTGGCCTCGAACTCATAGAGATCCACCTGCCTCTGCTTCTTGAGTGCTGGGATTAAAAGTGTGCGCCATCATGCCCAGCTCACATCTAACTAATAAGGATATTTGCATGGGGGTGTCTGTCACCTCTACAAAGCCCTGGGTAAGCTGCCTGGCAAAGGAGAATCCATTACTGAGTTCCTGTGAGGACAGGATTATTGGGTATCCACAGCATGCGTATTTCTAGGGGCACTCAAGAGCAGCCCAGGCTGTCTGTGTCCCTAAGATGAGGCAGGTGTGGAATAGTCCATGGAGGGCCAGACTTTTCTCACGTAGCCCAGGCTAGCCTCAAACTTACTATGTAGTCAATGACCTTGAACTCGGGATTCCCCCTACTTCAACTTCCTGAGTGCTGCCCAGTCCTTTTGCTTTTTTTGTTTTTTTTTGAGACAGGGTTTCTCTGTGTACCCTTGACTGTCCTGGAACTCCCTCTGTAGACCAGGCTGGCCTCTGCCTCCCAGTGCTGGGATTAAAGGTGTGCCCTACCACCGCCTGGCACCTTTTACTCTTTTTTGTTTTTTGAGGGTTCTGTAGTTGTTGTCACTGTTTTGAGATGGAGTCTGACTGTGTAGCCCAGGCTGGACTCTAACTTGGGGTGACCCTGCTTCTGCGTCCTGAATGCTAGGATTACAACTGTGTTTGCTTTCATTAGCTTATCATACAGGTAAAATCACAAAGCTGGGTGTAGGGGTGCAGTGCTGTAATCCTAGCTCTTCAGGGGGCTGAGGCAGGAGGATTATAAGTTTGAAGTCTGTTAGGACTACAGAGTGAATCTGAAGCCAGCCTGGGTAACTTGGTGACACACTGACTCAAAAACAAAGTGCATATAAAGGAGTGGGGCGTGTAGCTTAGTGGTAGACGACAGCCTAACCTGGTGTATCCCTGGTCTGAATGAGAACTGCCTCCATTAGGCTCATGTTTGAATGCTTGGTCTCCAGTCGGTGGAACTGTTTGGGAAGGATTAGGAGGTGTGGCCTTGTTGGAGGAGGTGTGTCACTGGAGGTGGGCTTTGAGGCTTCAAAAGCCTCCAGGCATCCCCAGTTAGCTCTCTCTCTCTACCTCCTACTTGTGGATCAAGACATGAGCTCTCGGGCTGGAGAGACAGCTCAGAGGTTAAGAGCACTGGCTGCTCTTCCAGAGGTCCTGAGTTCAATTCCCAGCAACCACATGGTGGCTCACAACCATCTATAATGAGATCTGGTGCCCTCTTCTGGTGTGCAGACATACGTGCAGGCAGAACACTGTACATAATAAATAAATCTTAAAAAAAAAAAAAGATGTGAGTGCTCTTCTGTTCTTGCCGCCATGCATTGTTCCATCATCAAGGAAACCTCTGGAATAATAACCCTCTGGAACTGTAAGCTCAATTGAACACTTCCTTTTACAAGGTTCAACTGGCTTGGTCACGGTGTTCTGTCACAGTACTAGAAAAGTAACTAAAGGAATCAGGTAAAATAGCAGATGCCTTTAATCCCAGCACTCAGGAGGCAGAGGCAGGCAGATCTCTAAGTTCAAGGCCAGCCTGGTCTACAGAGTGAGTTCTGGGACAGCCAAGGCCACACAAAGAAACCCTGTCTCAAAGTGAAAAAAACAAAACAAAAAAGACAAAAATAAAGACAAAGGAAAGTAACTAAGATTAAGATACAGGGCAAAGTAAGGTCCCGGACTCAACAGCGAGCACCATAGACACAAACACACACAGAAACAACAGGAAAAAAACCCGGGCTAGAACTTTTCTTAGAAACAACCATCCACTCTCATCATACTTTTAGCTCAGGCTGGCCTGGACCTAGTCATCCTCCTGCCTCAACCTCCTGAGTGCTGGGATCACAGGTGTGAGCCCCTGTGACAGGCTCTTGGACGAATCTCATAAATACTGCGAGAAGCCCAGGTAAGGCTGGTCTTGGCAGCGCCATCGGCACTGGCTGGAGACCCGGGAGTACATCAGTCCCCATCCACCTGCACCATGGCTTCCTAGGCAGCGTGTGGAGCGCTACATGCATGTGGACAAGCATCCAGGGCACATGGAACAAAACTAGAGAGGATCATGAGCCCGCGCATGCAGCTGGAAGTGCTGCAGTGGTGGTGTGAGCACGGGGAAGAGACATGGGGCACAAGCAGGACCCTGGCTCACAGGCCACAGTCTCTGCATGGCTTAGAGTCTAAGCTATCCGCAGATGCTGACATGAGAGCTTAGGCACACCCTATCTATCCCACAATCACTGACAACCACATTTTCCAGGTGGGGAAACTGAGGCACTGAGTGTTTAAAGGCATATGGTTAGCAAGCACTGAAGCCAGGACTGTTACTTGAAAGAAAAAGAAAAATTCAACTGTAGCTTCTGGTGAGAGGCAGAGGGTTGGACGGCAGGGAAGGGTTCTGGGCCTCGAGCAAGCTGGGCTCACCTGTCAAGGAGCTCTCGTTGACCACACACTCGCCAGCCACCAGGGCAGCATCGCATGGCATCACCCCACCCTCCTGGGGCAGCACCAGGCAATCTCCGGGCACCAGCTCGCTGGAGTCCACCCACTCCTCCTCTGTGGGCAGATGGGGTTCAGTGAGGGTCAGCTGCCCTGCTGCTTCCTAAGCCCAGCCTCCCTCCTTCCCGCCTGTTCCTCACCTCCTCCAGGCCGGCACACCTGCACCCGCACAGACAGCTTGACCATGTCCCTCAGAGTCACGCTTTGCTGTGGGACAGAGGGATGAGAAGAGCTGAGTGGGTGGCGGCCCCTTGGGGATACTCTGCTTATCCCCGCCGGGCGGGCCACCCATGCTCACCTTTCTGGTCTTGTAGAGAGCCAGGCAGATGGAGATGGCCGAGATGAGAAAGATACAAAGGGCATACCAGTAGTAGCGGTCGGCCAGCCACAGCGCGATGCTGAAGGCTTGGAATCCGTAGTAGGGGTTCAGTGCCTGTAGGAGGGGGAGACACATAAACACTGCATCCCTGGGCAGCCCGGAGACAGCTGGGTGGCTGCTGCCCCGAGCAAAGCCAACCCAGTCTCCTGCCTAGGCCCACTCCCAGCTCCTTCGGACATCCCCCAAGCTGCAGTGAGGAGGACACAGACATTTGTCCCCAGACATGTCAGACCCACGCTTTCTAAATGCCACACAATGGTGAGGACAATCCCACAAGGTGGCGCTACCACCGGAAGCAGAGACTGAGACACCAGAGGGGTAAGGCCTAAAACCAAACAGTGAATGGGTGTCAGGCTGCAGTCTGTAGAAGGCTAGGACATGATTTCTAAGTAGAGGTGGTCCCTTTGGCTATGCGTGACCGCGTCCGTGTCCTGTCCTGCCCTGAGTTCCTCCTGGGAGGACATACTGTATAGTCCTTATCCTTATTCACAGGGCTGGCAGGAAGCAAGAGGACAGAGCAGGACTGGGCTCTGGGGCAGGACCAGCTCTAACAGTGACCTCCTCGCTCGAGGCTGAGCTTGACTCCGTGGCTCTGCCGTGGCCCTCTACACGCTACACTCCGCATCGACCCTCCCTGTCTTCAGTCTGGGCTCTCAGGCTGAGGACACCAGAGTCTGGGACTGCCTGTCACTGACCCCTACTTGGATAAGGATAAGCTAGACACCAGGGTCCTTTACCTCATCCGCCAGCAGCTGCAGGTAGGACTTGACGGGAATACCGATCACATTGGGGCCGTAAATGGTCTTCCTGGAAAAAGGGAGGCCACCGAGCTGGCCCAGGGTGTCAGCAACCCCACCTTCCACCGCAGAAACCAAGGCCCCGAAAAGGTCCAACTGGAAGATGGGAGTGTGGGAAGGAGGAACAGGTGGGACCCCAGGGGCCGGGGCAGCACATACCTCACAGCTTGGTCCTGGAGGCTGAGGCCGGAGCGGGAGCAGTGGATGTCATCACAGGTACGGCCATGGTCCAGCAGGCTGGGGAGGGGGAGGGGAGGGACACTGTATGGATGACAGGGCCTGAGCTCTGCACTTCATCCTCTGTAGGCTGAGAACTTGGGGCTCCAGGGCTGTCAGGCCCCCTCAGTCACACTAAACCCCAAGGAGAGAACTCAGCTTACCCACTCCTGTGACTAGGCCGCAAACTTTACCTCACCAAGGCAGGATAGCAATGGGGATGGGGATGCTATGGTCAGTTACAAAACATTATTTATACCGATGATACCTTAGGCAAGTCACTTGATCTTTCTATGCCACTATTTTCTCATCTGCAAAATGGGGCCAGGAGACGCACCCACCCTGCCAGGCCAGGTAGCTGCGATGATGTCAATGCTCAGTGACAAGCATGCCTGTGAACTTTGTTCCTGTCACTGCCTTGCAGCAGAGGATGGGGGAGCCCATCTTCCCCTCCAAACACCCAAGTTTACCCAAGGACTGTCCTGGCTGTGTGAGCATAGGGTGTATGAAAGGCAAAAGGACCCAAGTGTGGCTGGATCCACCTTCCTTGGAGCAGCTCACAACCCTTCACAGCTGGGAGCTGAAGGTTGTCTCTGTCATCCTTGAGGTGCATGGTCCACACTGCTCAAGGGTATACCTGGTATTCTTGGTGGTAAGAAGGTCTGGCACCCTCTACTGGCACTTCCCCAGGGCTGTCCGGGGTCACCTTCTAGCCCAATGCCTCCTTCACCCTCATCTGAACTCTGCTTCTAAGGGTTCAACCTCAGCACACCATGGGAGTCAGAGCCTGGGGTGTGGTGCCTGGCAGAAGTACCTTTAAAACAACCCTATGAGATGAGACGTACCCTCACCCCCTATTTATAGGAAGCAGCTGCCAGCTGAGAGAGGCTTAGTGAACTGCCTAAGATTTCAGGGCAGCTGAGAGTAGCCCAGGCTAGGCCAGCCCCATCATGCCCTGGTACCCAAACCCACCCTGCTGGAGACGGTGTGGTATGCCTGGGGCCTCTACCTGACTTGGCAGAAGGCTTGCTGGGTCTCCATCCAGACATAGCGTTGGCCTTGGAGGAGGTAATAGCGCAGCACCTGTTTCTGGGTGGGAGGGGAGGCCAGTGGGAGGTGGCCCGGTATCAAGGAGCATCCACATGCAGACGGTGGAGAGGGATACGGGACAGCATCCCAGGAAAGAGAAACTTGGAAGTCTGGCAGCATCCCAGACCTCTGGGACCAGAGAGAGCCAGAGGGACACAGAGCTCCCTGAGCCCAGTCCTCCCACAGAGTGTGGGACCCAGATGCCCAGAGATGGGCAAGGCCAGGTCAAGCCCAGCTGGTCACTCACTGTCTCTTTCTGGAGCTGGGTGGTGTCCTCCCATGAGTCCTCTGGGACCACTCCCACAGCTGCCTGACTCCGGCCATCCTCTGCCTGGGCCTGTCGGGGCAGCTCCAGGCTGGAGGGGGTTGGGTGTTACTCTGCAGCTCCAGCGGCTGCCCAAACCTCCCATCCCTCCCTGGGACAGGACACCTGCTGTCTCACCTGCCCTCGCCAACAGCCTCAGTCTGCACCTGGACTGTGAAGAGCTGCCTGGAACTACCCTGGAATACAGAGGTGTGACTTCAGCCTCGAGAAAGCACCCCCATCCTTCCAGGGCAGTCCCATAGCCAGGCGGACTTGTGGAAAGCTGAAGTCAATGATACAGAGCTCTCCATTTAGACAGACAGTACAGTATATCCAATAGTCTTCACACGCGTGAGCACGGCGTACGTGAACATGTGTGTGGCGGTGCGGCGGTGTGCACACAGACTCCAGGGTAGGACATCAGGGACTTTGCTCCATTGCTCTCTGCCTCGCGTCCTTGAGACAGGGTCACTCCTGGACCCTGAAGGTAGGCTGGAGGGCAGCAAGCCCTAAAGATCTTGCTGTCTTTGCTCCCTTACCCAGGCGACCATACCCAGCTTTTCACATGGGGGCTAGATTCGAACTCAGGTCCTCAAGCTTGTGCAACAAGTGCCCTTATCCATTAGCTTTCTGTCAACTTGACATGAGCTAGTCATTTGAGACGTGGGAACCTCAGTTGGGAAAAATGCCCCCATTAGATTGGCTTGTGAGCAAGCCTGGGGTACATTTTCTTGATTAACCGATTTATGACTGTGTAGGCAGGCCCAGCCCACTGGGGGAAGGGCCACCCTGGGCCTGTGGTCCTTGATAGTATAGGAGAGCAGACTGAGCTGAGCTGGACAAGCCATGGGGTACAAGCTAGCAAGCAGGGTCCTCCACGGCTCCTGCCTCGGTTCCTGCCCTGACTTCCTTTGATGAGGGACTGTGACGTGGAAGCAGAAGTGAGATGAACCTTGTCGTCCTCAAGTTGCTTTTTGGTCATAGTGTTTATCAGGGCAGTAGGAACCCTAACGGAAGCTCCCATTCAGAGCCATCTCCAGCTCTTGGGAAGGTCTTGTATTTGTGGGTTTGATTATGGAAACTAATGAAGCATTTTCTAAAGGAAGAAAAAGCTCCAGGGTTATAAGGGAGCCCAGCCAGCCACACCTGGCCTGTCCCTGTCCACTGCCTCCTCTGGGGTGCGGCCTCCTCCCCGCCCCCCTCCAAGGGCCAGTGGTGGTTGGACTGAGCAGCCCAGCATCCCGCTACTCTTTCTCAGTCCCAGGTGGCCCCACTCACCTCTTTGTCTCTTATTTCTATAACGAGTGTTTCGGCGCGGGCCAGGCTGCATGGCCTCAGGCGCAGGCGCACGCCCCACAAGGGCTTCCAGCGGAATAGCAGCCAAGGGATCCCGGCCAGCATCCAGACCGCGGCGTGATAGCCGATGGCCCTCCATGGACTGCCACAGTAGCCGCTGAGCCTCTGTGGATGCAGGTGACAGGGCCGATGAAGCAGGGGGCAGGCCGGGACAGAACAGAAGCCAGGGCGCGCTGGGGACAGGCTGGAGGGCCACTCCATCCGCCGCCACTACCTACCACGGATGAAACTGAGGAGCTGAGGGGATCGATTGATGTCCCTGTCATCAGGGTCCCATAGCTGGGGGGCGTGCTGCCCATGAGCGGGCTGCTGTCTGTGGAGAGAGAGGAGGAAGGTCACGGAAGGGAGGGCGCTTTTCTTTTTCTGGTTTCAGTGCTGGGGATGGAACCAGGCCCTTGCGATGCTAGGTGAGCCAGTCCAGCAGCACCAGGCCACACCCCCAGGCCGCCTCTTCCTTCTGGCAAGCCTGGTCACTCTGCACCCAGGCCTTCTGGGCCTGTGAACTAACTGGCCATTGGTTCTTAAGAGTGTCTTGCTCCCTTGTGTGTCCGGCAGGAGCTGGAGAGAGGCACATAATTACCCTGGACGCCTGTGTCTTGCTGCTGTTTTCGTGGGGAACAGCATTTCACCCACAATCCCTAACTGTCACCTTCGGGCAGGGGTCGGGGCTGTTCTCACTCAGTCCCGGTGCCCAGCTCAGGCACAGTGTCCAGACCGCCTACCATGTCAAGTCCACACCGGCCTTGTCAGGAGCAGGGACTGGCACCGGCTGCTAGGGTGGAACCCCCTTCCCTCCCACTTCCCCATCTCCAGGGCAGGAGTCTTTCTAGATGTTTCCACCCAACCAGGCCAACCTTTCCTCTCACAGCTGCTTCCTTCACAGCATCCCTAGTCTCTCGGCTGCTCAGTCCCTGTAGGCTGAGGCTTCTGCAGTTTCTCCCAGACCATTAAAGAATCCTGACCTGTCAGGCTGGGTTTGTGCTTCAGAGGCTTCCCATGCTTGAGGCTTGGTGGCTAGTCATGTGTGGGCCTCTGCTCCCAGCCCTTTTCACACGGCTATCATAATAATTCTGTCAGTTATATCTCCATTTTATTTTTCATTATTTGTGTGTAGGCGTGTTTTGTGTGTGCACATACAGGCTCAGGTGTATTCTCATTCACACACACACACACACACACACACACACACACACACACACACACGTGCGCACACGCGCACGCGCTCCAGACGTTGGCACTGGGGATCTTACTCTATTATTCTCCTCCTTACTTCATTTGAGACAGGGTCTCTCCCTAACTTGGAGCTCACCAATTAGTCTAGGCTGGCTGGCCAGAGAGTGCCTCCAGGATCCACCTGTCTGTGTCCCCACAGCACTGGAATTCCGATGTGTGTCACTGTGCCAGCTTTTACGTTGGTGCAGGGGATCCGAACTCTCGATTCTCATGCTTACATAGCAAGCATTTCCCCCACTGAGCCATCTTCCCAGCCTCCTCTCTCCATTTTAAAGGAAAGGGAGAGGTTAAGTAACTCGCCCAAGATCACACAGCATGCATCTGGAGCACCAGGAGGCATGCCCAGGCAGGCTGGTTTCAGACTGGATTTGTTTGTTTTTGTAATTAAACAATGGATGTATTGGTCTTGTACAAAGACAAATTTGGGAGGGGCAACCAGGACTGAAGAAGAGTCACTTCCCACGTGCCAGAGCTGTTCATAATCCTCCTAGGACGAGTGCCCACTCAGGCACATAGGGAACTGGGGTTAGGGCACAAAGGCCCGAGGGGCCAGGAGGCCTGAGCCTGAGTCACACCTACAAGGAACAGCCTGGAACCCATCTGTGCTGTGCCACCTGAGGCCTCTTTAAATTGAAGACCCAGAGAAAACAGCCGAACCAGTGGCCCTCTCCTACCGTCCACAGAAAAGGAATGACTCACCTCAGGAACCGACAGATGGATAGACAGACCCTGGTGTGAGGGTGGAGCCAGCTAGGAAGAACATATTTCTGTCCCTTGGCCCTAAAGAGCAGCCTGGCTCTCACAGAGGGGACCTGAACTCAGGACAGGAGGTCCAGTAGGAGGTTCTCAGGTCCTTGGCCACAGTAGCTATAGCCTTTTCCTGCTAGACCCGGTCATCTGGCTACAGTGTCAGAGCTGGGGGCACAGTGACACACATCGGAAATTCCAGTGCTGTGGGGACACAGACAGGTGGATCCTGGAGGCACTCTCTGGTGACTGGGAAACAGCACCTCAGGGTCTCAAAGGGCCGAGCAAGGCTATACAACCACCTGCTTGTTCCTCCACACAACCCTAGCAAACAGCACAACGTCCACCTCTATCCTATGGCTGGGAAACAGGTGTGGGGAGGTACACTGCCCAAGAGCCATAGTTAATGTCTCCATCATCAACTGCACTCTCTGCCAAGCTGTGATTCATGAAGCAGGTGACTCAGCCTCTCTGGGCGTGCATTCCTAATCTCTAAGGGGTAGTGTGTGTAGCGATGCACTAGGCAGCTGGCCACAGAGAAAGAGAGAGGAGTGAGGCTCAGCCACAGAGGGCGTCTGCAGTCTTTGAGGCTGGCACAGGCAGGCGGCTTCCCACCAGGGCATGGATGCTCCTTTGACCCATTTCCCAGGCTGGCCTCTCCTTTCTCATCACCAAGCCAGAAACCTAGCCTCCAGGCCTGAACGTCAGCTCCTTCCTGTGGCTCGAGGACCTTGGGGCACCAGCTGGATGGGGCTCAGACTGATAAAGAAGTCACAGAGCCAACACTGAGTGGATCATCTGACCCGAATCCACCTACCAAGTGCTGAGGGGTGGCCTCTGACTGTGGTTCACAAATGGAAGTACTGAGCCTCCCACAGCCATTCTGCCGAAGGCTTGTCGGGAGACTGGAAATGGGCCTGTCTTCCTCAGAGTCCCCACGGTCACCCTCCCTCATTGATTTCTGTTCTACTCACAGCACCTGCTGCCGCAGCCAGCACTGAGTGAGTGAATGAATGAATGAATGAATGAATGAATGGACTCACACCCACACACTGCAGAGCACAGGAGGGGTCAGTGCCCTTGTGCCACCCCCCATCCCCCACGTCTCTAGCCTCTTCCTTAAAGAGCCCTTACCATCAGCCCCCAGGATCTAATCTGGAAAGTTCCTTTCGAGTGTCTACCACACACCCATGATTTCACAAGGATGCTCACAACCAGCCAGGGAAGGAGGGAAGGCAGCTTGCCAAAGGAGGAAGTCACATCGGAGGAAACCTCCAGAGTGCCCAAAAGGACCACGCCCAGTGCACTGTCTGGCAGGAACACAGGACATCTTCAAAGCACTTGGCTTCAAGGGAAGGTGTCCCAGAGCTCACCAGTCAGGCAGCCTCAAGCTGGCTTGCACAGGCTGCAGGCTCTGTGAGCTGTCCCTGCTCTCCCGGGTTAGCCAAGGGGCCTGAGGGCCTTCAGACAGCAGTGGCAACATTGTGGTTCACCTCAGCCCTCTGAGGGAGGGACTGCCGAAATGTTCCCCTCAAAGATGGGGAAACTGAGGAACAGAGCTGTTAAGATTCAGGCCCAGAATCACATGGCTTCAAACGGGGAAGCTGGAACGATTGGCTGTGGTGAACAGAGCCTTTAATTCACCCTCACAGCCAGCTGCCTCAGGAAAAGCATAGATAAAGAGTCTCACTGAGAGTGGGGGAGGGGCGGCGGCGGCGGTTCAGCAGGTAAAGGCACTGGCTACACCAGCCGGATGACCTGAATTCCATCCTCTGACCGCACACACAGGCTGTGGCACATGGGGGTGAATGTACACACAAAGTAATAGTACAATTTATAACACACTTAAAATGAGAGCTTAGTTTGGTGGCCCATGACTGTGACCCCAACGCTGAAGGAAGCAGAAGGATTAGGAGTTCAAGGTCATCCTCGACTACATATTGCACGTCAGGCCAGTCTAGGCTACATGAGACCCCCAATCTCAAAAAATAAAAGTAATAGGGGCTGGAGAGATGGTCAGCAGTTAAGAGCATAGTCTGCTCTTCCAAGTGTGCTTCTCAGCACTAACATCAGTCAGGTGGCTCATAACCTCCTGTAACCACCACTCCCCCCCCCCACTATTAGAATTTTAAAAGAAATTTAAATAAATAAATCTTTTAAAAATATATCTTTAAAATAATCTTTTAAAGTAAATCTTTAAAAAAAAATAAGACCCAAAGATTACAATATAGCTCAAGAGCAGCGCCCAAGGCCTGGGCTTGATACCCAGCACCATAAACACAAAGCCCAGAAAAGGCAGGCCAAGAGAGACACTATACACAGAGTCACACAGCCGTGAACGCCAGAGACAGGGCTGGGGCGAGGTCACAGCCCTGGGGCAGCCGCACCAGCACAGCAGAGCAGAGGGGCCAGAGTCAAAGCCATTTGGGAACCTCTTACTTCCTGCGGAAGACTCAGCTTCCTGCTGCGGATCTGCCAGCTACCCAGGGCACCAGCATCTACTATGGTGGCTCCCCCATGGCTAGGAGCTCCTGGCCTCCATCAGGCTGGGAGAGTGTGCACCTGGGAGGTCTTTGGCTAGATTCTAGAATTTAGAGACTTTGCTCGGGTGCATGATGGGCAGGCAGTTCTTATCATAAGCTGCCCCCTCGCGCCCCCCCCCCCCCCATTCTTTTCCCTCCCTCACTTAAGGCACTGTAGGATAGGGGCTGTGGACTGGGCCAGAGATGTGCTGGGAGAAACAGAGACTGGGGGTTGGGCACGCTAGCTAGCACCTAGCGGGCAGCCTGGGTCTAGAAGCCTTAACTGCATCAGGTGGGATTTCGGTTCCAGCCTAAGACACTCAGCCTGGCGCGGGGGCCATGCAGGGTGTGGTCCTTGGACCTAGCCGCTGACAAGCTTTCTCTGTGGGACCTGAGGTTGGGGGTTAGGAGTTCATCCAGGCCCAGCAGAGAGATGGCTTCCCTAACGCTGTTCATGCAGCACACATGGGTGACTGCTCAGAGGCCCGAGGGCGGTGCACCGCGTCCCTCACCTGAACCTGTCACTCAGGATCGAATGCATTCAGAGAGGGCGGGGAGGGCACACCCCCCCTCCCTTCCCCAGCCCCAGAGACCCTCTGGCCCAGGGTGTGCGCAGCAGCATCCTAAATCTTGCTCTCTGGGGGCCTGGGGATGAGCACGGAAGGGAGGGCCGGGCCGCGGCTCACCTGCGCTCATTTCGGCTCCTCGCGCTCATCGCCGGCCGCTACGGCCCGCGGCCTGGGCTCGGCGTGCGAGGCCCCGGGGCACGGTCGGGGGCGCCTGCTGCGGCGGGCTGCGGAGGGGCCGGGCTGGGCAGCACCTGCACGACGCGACCGAGGCTCGAACGGTGCCGCAGTCAGTCTGCGGCCGTCAAGCCCCGCCCCCCCGCGGCGCCCACGTCCGCCACAGCCGCGCGGGCTGCCGGGACTTGTAGTTCCCAGTGTGGCCTCCGCCCGGAGCTCGCCTGAGATCCTGAGTCTGGGGATTGCGTGGGTGGAGGCAGGAGTGCGGGGATGGGGAGCGGTGAGGGGAGAGGTGGGAAAGGCGGGGGATGGGGGGACGCAGTCCCCAGACACAACAGAGGAGGCAGGTACACATACAGGCGCGGGGGTGGGGGACGCTGGGAGACAGGTGGGACAATACCCAGACAGAACAGATAAACAGAAAAACCAATATTCTGGGAGATAAAATTGACAAAAATACAGGCAGGCAGATGGGCAGGCAGAAGGGCATGCTGGGAGACACAGGTGGAACAGACCTGAGACAAAGCAGATGAATGGAAAATGGACAAGCAGAAAGAGAGTAGACAGAAGGGAAACTGTCCACAAACATACAGCCCCTGGTGCACACCATGGTAGTTAATTGAGCCTTAGGCATGCAAACTCAAGCTTGCCTCCATGTCTTCCAGGCTGTGTGACTGTGGATTTATCAGTTAACCTCCCCGGGTCTCTTTTTCTTTTTTAAAAACAAAACATTATTGATGTGTATTTTGTTTGTGTGTGCGCGCGGGTGGGGTCTGTGTGAAGATGAGAGAAGAATTTCAGGAGTCAGTTTTCTTCTTCTGCCCTGCGGTCTTGGGGATTGAACTCAAGTCCTCTGGCTTGGCAGCAAGTGCCTTGACCCCCCTGAGCCATCTCACTGGACGTGGACCTCTTTTTCTGACCTGTAAAATGACACATAGCAGCAATGCTTGCTTGTTTTAAGTACTGCATGAGAACACTCATCTGAAACCCTTTGGACAGAACCTGATACTACAGGATAAATGTCAGGAAAGACACACTTGCCTTGGACTCCTGTGGTCAGGTATGGCCATAAAGGTGTCCGTGCACAGGCTGGCTGTGATGATGCTCAGAAGGCCTTAGGAAGGCCAAAGAGACTGTAGGGCCCAGCCCAGAAGCCTGGAAACATGACCTGCATGCACCTCTGCACAGGGGGGACAAATGAAGACCTCAAAAGCCTAGGAGACTTGTCTACAGCATTTACCACACTGTTCCATAGTGACAGAGACAATTAAGGTGTCCCCTGGTCCTGGGGTCAATGACCTCTGAACAGGAGTTACAGAGGTAAATGGTGTGTCAGAGACAAGGGGTAAGCCAGGGAAAGTTGGGGCCAGAAGAGTCCTGGGCCTGCAGCATCAGCCACTTGTCCCTGTGAACTCATGGAGAGCCAAGGAGAGTTCAGGAGCTGGAACAGGCCCCATCCACCTAGGACTACTGGAAATCAACACAAGGGCAGCCAAGCGAAACAACTGATGGCAGAAAGTGCTGGAAGAGTGCAGAGCTGTGATGGGATGGGGTTCCCTTTGTGGGGACAGGAGGGAGCTATGACAGTGAACACTGGCTGTGTAGGCAGGACTTGTTGACCAGATTTGTGGGTGTGGATATGTGAGACTCAGACATGCCCAGAGGTATGGCTCCAGCAGCTGGGGGACAGTGGAGCCATTTACTGAGCTGGGGCAGGATGCTGGTAGAGCAGGTTGGGGGGCATTCCTGTTGGCCATGTGGGGCATAGGACTGGCTTCACTAGGTCAGGTGAGGCTTTACTAGCAGGTGACATTGCTAGTAGGGACCAGCAGTGTGATCTCTCAGAGCCTCTGTGTTCTCCCACCCTCACCCCCTGATGCCCAGCAGGTGACATTTCCAGGGAACCTGGATGCCTGGGTAGCCTGGGTGATGGTGGTGATTTAGGTTTGGATCTGGCTGGCACAGATGCCCTTGCGGAGAGAGGCCCTGTAATAAAGAAAGACCTGGTGCATCAGTTGCTGACTAGTTGTTCGAACATTTCTTGATTTATGTATTGAGACAAGGGCTAGCTATGTAGCTATGTAGCAGGTTCCTAGAGATCCGTCTGCCCCTGTCTTCCCAAGTGCTGGGATAAGAGTCATTTTCCCTCTCTGAACCTCTCCTTGGAGTCCAGATACATTCATGAGACCCTCAAGCTGGGTTAGAAGTCTTGAAGGGTTAGGGGCTGTGGGGACAGACCACCTTTGCAGGTTGTCTGCCAGACCATGAGAAGCCACACGACACTACTCAGGCTTCATTCCAAGTTTTCTGGGAAAAAGTCAAGCTCCTTGATGGGGCAAGTGCCAGGGAATGCACTCTTCTAAACCACAGAGGATGAGGTAGTTCCTGCTTACCTGCCAGAGTCACCTGTTGGGAAGTGGCTTTAACTGTGTGACCTCACTGGCAGCCTGTGGGCAGGGCTCTCCTCCTAGATAACTGCAGCTAAAGTTTCCAGTCACATGGGCCAGGCCTGATTCAACAGCTTCCATCTGGGGCCCTCATGGGGGATGTCCCATGCCTGGTTCACATTGCAGAAGTCTGAGAAACCATCGACACTGACCAGTTTACCCCAGAGCACAGCCTCACTTCTTGATTTCTTTAGTTTCGATGGATTTTTTTTTTTTTGCAACAAAGGGGTGTTTTCTCAACTAGTGACACCCCCAAAGTGAGACGATGGCTGTCTAAACATCCAGTGAAGTGACCTTTTTGCAGTTGGTCTTATTGGGAAGGACCTGGAGGGACTCTGAACAAGGGAGTCCCTGGGACCCTCAGCAGCCAGTGAAGGGGGAGAGAGGAGGGCATGCTTAGCTTTGCAAACAAAGACAGAAATCTGAAGTCAGGCCGTGGTGCCTCAGTCACTGGTAATTCTAGCACTCAGGAGGCTGAGGTGGGAGAATTGAGTCCAGCCTGGGCTACATATCGAGACCCTGTTGCAAACAAAACAAAACAAAAAAACAACACCCTGATGTAGCTCAGTTGGTACAGTGCTTGCTTAGCATGCATAAGCAGGTAGTTTGATCTTTAGCACGGCAGAAACCAGGTGTGGTGGTACACGCCTGCCACTTACGAGACAGGCAAGAGGATCAGGAGTCTAAGGTCACTCAGCTGCGTTAAGTGAGTTGGAGGCCAGCTTGGGATACGAGTCTATCTCAAAGAAAACAAAAAGCAAAACTAAAAACAAAACTCTGAGGTGATCAATCCCATGAGAAATATGGCTGATTGTCCATCATGGGGTTTCCACGTCTTGGCGGAGTTGACAGGGTTCCATATATGGTTCAGACTGGATATTTCAGACCAGTCAGCTACACTGAGTACGGCGTATCTGTGCTACTGTAAAGCAAGATGCCTTGGTGTTTATTCTTAGACCCCAGTCACATTCTCAATACCATCCATTCTCATTTTTTTGGGGGGGTGGTTCGAGACAGGGTTTCTCTGTGTAGCTTTGTGCCTTTCCTGGAACTCACTCTGTAGACCAGGCTGGCCTCGAACTCACAGAGATCCTCCTGCCTCTGCCTCCCGAGTGCTGGGATTAAAGGCATATGCCACCACCGCCCGGCCATCCATTCCCATTTTACAGATAGCAAAAGAGAGGTACGGATGGTCAACAACTGCCCAAAGATAGCTGAGAAGAGCTGGGTGGCCCAGTTCCAAGGAAACTTGAAGCTTTCCATAGTATTGCTTTGTAAGTTTCATAGATACACACAAGACAAAAATCCTGCTTGGGACTTAGTTTAATTAAAAGTCTTGCCGGGCCGGGGTGGAGGTGGTGGTGGTGGTGGCTGTGGTGGCGCACATCTTTAGTTCCAGCACTAAGGAGGCAGAGGCAGGCAGAGCTCTGCCTAGCCTGCCAGCCTGGGCTACAAAGCAAGTTCCAGGACAGCCAAAGCTGTTATACTGAGAAACCCTGCCTCAAAAAACCAAACAACAACAAACAAACAGACAATCTTTGTGGCTGGACATAATCTCAACTCTTGGAAACCTGAAGCTGGAGTATTGTTCATTCAACGGCAGCCTGAGCTACACAGCCAGACTCATCTCAACATATCAAGAGAAGGTTCTAGAAAGATGGTTCAGCAGTTTGCTGCCCTTGCAGAATGCTAAAGTTTGGTTCTCAGCACCTGCATTGGGCTGCACACAACCTCTAGTAAATCCAGCTCCAGGGGATCTAGCTAATATCTGACCTCCCCAGGCACTGTGCATGCATGTACACAGACAGACAGACAGACACACACACTAAAACATATACCAAAGAAAAGTATCACTTGGCATGGTGGTGTATACTTGTAATCAATCCCATGACTGGGGAGGCAAAAGCAGGACCCTGTCTAAAACCATGACCACTGCCAGTGCTGCCGCCGCTGCCGCCACCACCACCACCACCTCAGCCACCATCACCACCACCACCACCACCACCGCCAAGCATCTTTCTTTACCTTTTGAGCCACCTTACCCTTGAATTTCAACTCTTAGCAGCAGCCAGGCTACATAGCTCATCCTTATGTGCCACTTAGCTATTCATGAGAACAACTCACCTTCAGATCCAGATATCTGAAGCAAAGTCCAATTACCCATGAACCTCAGGAATGTGATCTTCCGGGCTCTGAGAGAGGGCCATTAGGGTTGAACTGATCTCTGTCCACAGACAGGGCAAGTAGGTTTATCCTGCCACCTCTCAAGTAATGGCCTTGGAGTGGCCTCACATTTCAGTTGTCACTTGGGGTGCTATGCTGAGAGGGCAAACCCTCTTCTCTAAATTTGTTTATTTTTTATTTTTTGCAGTGCTAGGGATCAGACCAGGGCTTTGCACATGCTCCAAGTGTCTAATAATCAACGTTTCTCTTTACTTTGTGGCCTTGGCTTATGGGTGGCCAGAAACAAACGTGCATTTTACCTTACCTCCCACACTTGCTGAATACAAAAGCCCTCTCCCTTCCTCTTATTTATTATTATTATTTGATTTTTTTCGAGACAGGGTTCCTCTGTGTAGCTTTGGTTGTACTGGAACTCACTCTGTAGACCAGGCTGACCATGAATTCACAAAGATCTGCCTGCCCCTGTCTCCAGAGTGCTGGGATTAA